TAACTTACTAACTTACTAACTTACTGTCTTACTTACTGTCTTACCTACTTACTTACTAGCTTACTAACTTACTAACTTACTAACTTACTAACTTACTTACTTACTAACTTACTAACTTACTAACTTACTTACTTACTTACTTACTTACTAACTTACTAACTTACTAACTTACTTACTTACTTACTAACTTACTAACTTACTGTCTTACTAACTTACTGTCTTACTAACTTACTAACTTACTAACTTACTAACTTACTGTCTTACTAACTTACTAACTTACTGTCTTACTAACTTACTAACTTACTAACTTACTAACTTACTAACTTACTAACTTACTAACTTACTGTCTTACTAACTTACTAACTTACTAACTTACTAACTTACTGTCTTACTAACTTACTAACTTACTGTCTTACTTACTGTCTTACCTACTTACTTACTAACTTACTAACTTACTAACTTACTAACTTACTAACTTACTAACTTACTTACTTACTTACTTACTTACTTACTAACTTACTAACTTACTAACTTACTTACTTACTTACTTACTTACTTACTAACTTACTAACTTACTTACTTACTAACTTACTAACTTACTAACTTACTAACTTACTTACTTACTTACTTACTAACTTACTAACTTACTTACTTACTTACTTACTAACTTACTAACTTACTAACTTACTAACTTACTTACTTACTTACTTACTTACTTACTTACTAACTTACTAACTTACTAACTTACTTACTTACTTACTTACTTACTTACTTACTTACTAACTTACTAACTTACTTACTTACTAACTTACTAACTTACTACTTACTAACTTACTTACTTACTTACTTACTAACTTACTAACTTACTTACTAACTTACTTACTAACTTACTAACTTACTTAGTTACTAACTTACTAACTTACTAACTTACGAACTTACTTACTTACTAACTTACTAACTTACTAACTTACTTACTTACTTACTTACTAACTTACTAACTTACTAACTTACTAACTTACTTACTTACTAACTTACTTACTAACTTACTAACTTACTAACTTACTTACTTACTAACTTACTTACTAACTTACTAACTTACTAACTTACTAACTTACTTACTAACTTACTTACTAACTTACTACTTACTAACTTACTAACTTACTTACTTACTAACTTACTAACTTACTAACTTACTTACTTACTTACTTACTAACTTACTAACTTACTAACTTACTTACTAACTTACTAACTTACTTACTAACTTACTAACTTACTAACTTACTTACTTACTAACTTACTCACCTACTGTCTTACTTACCTACTTACTTACTTACTTCCTTACTTACGTACTAACTTATTTACTTCCTTACTTACGTAGTATGTTACGCACCAACCTACTTACTAACTTACTTACTTACTGACTAACTCACTCACTTACTTACTTACTAAACTACCTTCTTACTCACTTACTCACTGACGTAGATTTAGTTTGTCTCCTTGAAAGGACACATCAGAGAGATAATGTTGGTGTTTAAGGCATTGTGTTTTTCAGAATTTCCTGTCTCATTTCCTGAGTATAATCTCCAGCGGTTTTTAATTTACTGCTTTTTTGTTTTGCTCCTTAGCACGCAGATATTCCTCCCATGCACCGAACACACTTTACTTACAACTTCTCTCACTCCACACTATCAATATTACACAATAAAACCCCTTAATTTATCTTCTCAATCGCTCTAATTCAATTTAACCTTGCATTTTCTTCACAGCTGAAATGTTTTGTGGAACAAATCTGAAGAGATGTTCAAAATAGGTTCTTACATATTCCAAGTTACATGTTCTCACAAGAGTTTAATCACACCATTCATCCCATCAGCGTTCAACCCTGAAATGTTATTAAGTACATACTTAAACAAAAGCACTTAAAAACTGTAAAAGTTAAGTATTAGTTAGATTTCACCACTTGTTGTATTACTTACTTACTAATTAAATTACTCTTATTCATGTTTTAGAATTAGAAATGCCCAAAGTACGTCCGTCAGAAAAGTCTAGTTACGTAAAAAGTAATATATGTAATTAAAAAAGCACTTAAAAACTGTATTTAAGTACAAAAGTTAAGTATTAGTGGAAGTTAGATTTCACCACAGGTTGTATTGGTGATGTGACACTGTCGGGTGCATCGTTGGATGTTCACTTCCATAAAGATTTCTAAAAGATTTCTGAACAATTGTTGAATTTAACACGTTTTCCGGAGCAGAAAATGCCAAAAAAACAACCCAAATCATAAATCTGAAAACAGCAGGTTATTATAAAATGAGAAGCATATTACTGTGCATAAAATTAATTTAGTCATATTGTTGTTTTATCTTTAATCCCCTGAGTTTTGATACTCCAGAGGGCGGGGTGCGTGGCAACATGATTTGTGTTTTTCAGTTAAACTTCAAAATCAAAGTGACAAAAAGTCATCTGACTCAAATGTGACTGCATGAAGCAGGAAGCGCAAACATGCCTCTCAATGTGTGTGTGTGTGTGTGTGTGTGTGTGTGTGTGTGTGTGTGTGTGTGTGTGTGTGTGTGTGTGTGTGTGTGTGTGTGTGTGTGTGTGTGTATGTGTGTGTGTGTGTGTGTGTGTGTGTGTGTGTGTGTGTGTGGGAGGGGTCTTTCAGAGTATAAACAGCCATCACTCCCCTGCCTCCATCTCTCCAGGACTTTAAACCCCTGCGTTCATACTGCATGTTGGTGGCTCTGCAGAGGACATTCAATTGACTTTTAATAATCTTTGATCGTTGTTAGTAATCATGGCTCTAAATAAATCCAAAATAGCGATTGGGTTTATCGTGGCAGGGGTTCTGACCGTGGTGTCTGGAATCGTTATGCTGTTCGTGGGACCGGCGGTGATGAAAGACCAAGTGATAAAGGTGAGTGATAATGGGGAAAGTTACACATTAATTAAAGAAAAATTATTAGTATTCATTTAAAATACATATAGTTAGATAAAATAGTTAAAATATAATGAAAAGGAAGTATAAAAGTCAGGTCATTAACATTAAATTCAGCTTATTTCTTTTCCATTTCTGTGTTTTTAAATTGTACAATTATGGTTATAGGAGAGTTTGATCTTTTTAGGTATAAAAATTATAAATACGAATAAAAAATAATTAATAACATGGTTTAATAGTGCAATACAATTATATATAAAAAAATTAAGTGCAATTGTTTTTGACCCCTCCTGTGCCCTTGAGCAAGGCACCGGACAAGGCTCCTATTGTTTTTCATTGATTGAGGTTATTTAATCTGCATGCTTATCACAGTTTAAATGAACCCTAATCTGTGTTTGCTGCTGGTTCTCTGTCGATAAATATCTGTGGACGTTCTCTGCAGATATCTCTCTCACTGCTGTAGATTCAGAGATGTTGCGCATACCTTCAGGGTCACGTTATGTCACTTTATGCACTCAATCATTACTATTGTTAATGTATTATCACCCAACATTATATAAGGTGGCACAGTAGTGACTTCAGGTGCTAAAGAAAACACAAATGCATAATGGAGTTATATAGATGTTGGATGTGCTGCTAAGCCTTTTTGTGAACCACTTTGTAATCTAAATGCAGTATTTGTGGCCAATACAATTCTTCTTAACTAATATAAAGTCACTTATAGCCTATTTAAAGGTCACCTATCATGCTATTTTTAGGCAATTTCCCATTCTAGCTATGCCTCATATCCCTCTATTTCACTTCCTGTTTCAAAAGTGCTGATTTGGGGTATAAAGCTTTAAAAAAAAAAAAAGTAGGGGTCTGAGCTCATGCGGCACCCGGCAGCTACTGTCTAAACTAAATGCTGCCGTGATGAAACGCCATATCATGGATTATCAAGGATTCTTTCTGAAACAGTATGGAGCTCAAAGGCTTTCTCTCTTGCCGGTTATACCACAAGGTGAGTTCCTTTTTATTTCCTGCTTCTTCACACACATGCTCTCCAGTACAGGTTAGCTCTGAGTGTTAGCGATGCTAATGTAAACACCGACCATATTACGTCCAAAACAGTCGGGCATTGTTTCTGATAGCAACGTTTCTGATAGGGCCGTGGGTCCACATTTCAGATATTACGTCATATCGGACGCAAATTTGGATCAGCTCTGTTGTTGCCCCCTTTTTAGAGATTTGGGTACGGAGGAAAAGAGAGAGGGTTTTATTTTCTGACGCTGCGTGAGTTCCCTGACACACGGGGGACACATGGTGATGTAGAAAAGACATCAAAAAGTGCATTTTGCAAGATAGGTCCCCTTTAACTAATTGTAAAAGCAACTTCAAGGTTTTTGATTTGTTTATTTATGTATTCTAAGTTTCTGGAGGTGTTTCCATTTGGGCATATTTTTCTGTAATTCAATAGAGATGGTTTATATCCAAATGTGAGTTTCAAGACACTACTGTATATAAAAAAAATGAAGAATACTTAAAAAAACAGAATTAATAAACAAAACAAGTAAGAAAGATAACAAATAAATAAATAAAGTTAAAAAGTACGTTTTAAATGATGTAATTAATCAAATATAAATATTATTAAAGGTCATTAGCAGAAGGCTGCTTCTCTACACTCTTTGTAGTGTGTTGTTGTTGGCAAAGTTGCGCAAGCTAGCCTTAAATGACCTGAGGGAGCAAAGGTGTAAGTACATAAGATAAAAACCTTACAAAACAGGGTAAATATACCTAAAATCAATACTCTACACTACAGATCTAGCACTACAAATAATAGGGACATAAACAAATTAATAAAACAAAAAATATGATAAATATTATAAAATAATAAAAACACAAAGTCAAAATGGTTAGCCGATGTGATGTCTGGAACATTTGAATTTTAAGGATTTTTTTTACTTGTTTGTATTTCTAATTTAATTATTTTTATTTTCAACCTATGTTGTATAATAAAGAAAGCACGGAGGAGAACTACATTTCCCAGAATCCTCAGCGCGCACTAAAGGGGGCGTGGCTGACAGAGTATAAATACAGCGACAATAGCAGCTGATCGATTTCATGGATCTGAGAAGTTTAAAAGCTGGCAGGGCTCTAAATGTCGACCTGAAGCTATATTTAATGTCATAGCGAGACCTCTCTGTAGTCGTTTATGAGTATTAGCCGTTAGCAGACTGACATTAGCGGTTAGCACAGCATCTCTCCGGAGCTAAACACACTGCTGTCAGCTGTCCACAACAACAATAACCAGCCATGGCGATAAATAAAGCCAAAGTGGCGGTGGGCTTCATAGTGGCCGGGGTCCTCATGGTGTTCTTCGGGGTGGTTTTAACTTTTGTGGGACCGATAATCATCGACGACCAGGTGGTGAAGGTAAGAACACATGCATCGTGTTTTCCTGTGAGAGCTGTAAATGTGCTGAGTGTTTCTGTGTCATGTTATCAGTCTCAAAGGGCTCCACTGACACGTGAGGATCTCTATAACTGATCAAGGACACTCAGATAATCAGGAATAATGTGCATGCAGAGTAGGGAGAATATCCTGTATTAATCAGTCAAAGTACATGTGTAGGAATACTCTGTTACAAGTAAAAGTCCTGCCTTTCAAAGTACTAAACCATTTGCATTGAATTAAACTTAAAGTACCAAAAGTAAAAGTACTCATTGTGTGTTCTGTGTTATTTCAGAGTCATATATAATTACATTCAGTGGTGTAAAGTACATGTATTCAAGTACTGTACTTAAGTAAAATGTTGAGGTTCTTGTGCTATTGTGTCTATGTACTTTTCCTCCACTACATGTATTTAATACCTTTAGTTACTTCACAGATGTGGATGAATGATGTGAAATATAATCAAGTGTTAAATCAGACTTTAGTTCCACCTGGAGTAAATCCACAAGCTACCCTGCAGTATACAAAGTCATTCAAACTAGCTGCACCTTTACCAGCTTTGAGAACACTTTCATGATCAATCATTATAAAACATATCATATCTATTATTCTGAAATGGACCAATCTGCACAATGACTACTTTTACTGTCGCTACTTTCACTAGATTTTGATGAGAATACTTTTCTACTTCAGGAACATTTTGAATGCAGGACTTTTACTGAAACAGAGTATTCCTACACTCTGGTACTTCTACTTTTACTAAGTACAAGATCTGAGTACTTCTACTTTTACTAAGTACAAGATCTGAGTACTTTTACTCAAGCACACGACCTGAGTACTTCTACTTTTACTCAAGCACACGACCTGAGTACTTCTACTTTTACCCAAGCACACGACCTGAGTACTTCTCCCCCCTCTGGGTATATTTTCTGGATTATTATCACGCATGCATTAACAGGTTCATTAAAGCAGGTAAAGGTGGGGCCAATTCAAATACTTGAAGTACTTCTACTGGATATATTATCCTTTAATTATATATCAGAGTTGATTGATATTTTGCATTGATAATATTCTCCTGCAAAAGTAATCTTGACCAATAAATGTATTGGAGTAGAAGTATGAGGTAGTATAAAATGGAAATACTCAAGTAAAGTGCAATTACTTAAGTACAGCACTTGAGTACTTGTACTTCGTTACTTTCCACCTCTGATATAACAGTTATATGCGGTAATATCTTGGTGATTCAATCATTGGAGAGTAATTACATGATAAGGTTGAACGCTGATGGAATGAATGATTGCTGAAGCTCGTGTGTGTGTGTGTGTGTGTGTGTGTGTGTGTGTGTGTGTGTGTGTGTGTGTGGTGTGTGTGTGTGTGTGTGTGTGTGTGTGTGTGTGTGTGTGTGTGTGTGTGTGTGTGTGTGTGTGTGTGTGTGTGTGTGTGGTGTGTGTGTGTGTGTGTGTGTGTGTGTGTGTGTGTGTGTGTGTGTGTGTGTGTGTGTGTGTGTGTGTGTGTGTGTGTGTGTGTGTGTGTGTGTGTGTGTGTGTGTGTGTGTGTGTGTGTGTGTGTGTGTGTGTGTGTGTGTGTGTGTGTGTGTGTGTGTGTGTGTGTGTGTGATATTCATATCTTTTAGTACATTCTCACATCAGACATATGAAGTTATATTACTTTTAAATACTTATAATAGGGAAAAGGTTGTTATGGTCTCACAAGTATTCCTTATTCTTAATCTGGGAATCTGGCTTTACCATCACTTAATTAAAAAGTGATATTTACAGTATGTGAGATACCTAGTTTGTGAAGATTCCATGCCTTTGTTTTATATGATTGTCAACTTTGATTTGTGACTATTTGTTAGATTTGTTGACATTTTATAGACTAAAATATCAGTTAAATTATTAGAAAAGAGCTGAAATTAAGTCACAGAAACTGTACTTTTATCATCTTTGCTTCTGCTTGTTTATATCTGTACGTTTTAATAAGGCTTTTATTTAAAACATAGCTTTAAAAAGCTTCTTTGGAAAATATGTGATGCTAAAATAAGGGTTTGAACTCTGTGGAGCAAATGAGCTTTTGGAGATATAGAATAACGGACATAGTTTCTGTCGGTTTATGTAGATATTTTAAGCCATGTTAGTCATCTTAAGCCAAAACGAAAAAGATATGCTTGTTTCCGGCTACTTAAAGTGGACCTATCATGCTATATTTGAATAATATAGTGTAGGACCATACCTATATAAGGCATATTTATACTTTTTTGTTTTCAAAATACCAAACAGATCATGCATTTTAGCCATGCCTCATTTTGCTCAATTTGACATTTTTTAGCTCTGTTTTAGCAAGGGCTGATTCTGTGAGAACAGCACCACCTACAGGCCTGGCATATGTACTACAGCGTCTCCAGCGCTTTCGAACGGCAATGGCCGTGGCTGTCTCCTCCTGATTGGTGGAGTTGGCCCAATAGCCGTAGCGCCACCGTCCTGACGTCAGGACAGTGTTCAAATCTGGATCAGTTTTTATCAGATCCGTTGCAGCCCCTTTTTTAGAGATTTGGGTATGGAGGAAAATAGAGAGGGTTGTGTTTTCTGACACTTGGTGAGTTCCCTGGAACACCGGGGACACATATTCATGTAGAAAAGACGTACAAAAGTGCATTTTGCATGATAGGTCCCCTTTAAATATGCAATGTATGCTTTTTCTTAAACTTGCATGAAAGTAAAGTGAATATCTTTTGGGTTTTTGAATTACAAAACATGTTTTTAATATTCCTTCGCAGGTATCTCTATTTTGAGATATCAGCTTTGTCCCTCCATGAGTTCATCTTTCCTCCATAAATACATTTGTTCTGTAATTTATTCACTATTTAAACAAAGTAATAAACAATAATAATAATAATAGTAAAGAAGAAAACACAGAATTGCCGTAATATAATAATAAACATATATGAATATAACATAGCTACTGTGCACATGACAATAAAGCCATTTTTTGAGGAAACTATTAATTTAGGAGATAAATAATCTCTTCATAAATCAACCATAAAAATAACACATAGTTTAATCCTTTTTATTTAATATTATTCTTTCTCCCCCTCTCATGTCAGAACACAGTGATTGATCCGAAGAACAGCATGTCTTACACCATGTGGAAGGACGTCCCGGTGCCGTTCTTCATGTCCGTCTACTTCTTCAACGTCCTGAACCCTCAGGAGATTCTGAAAGGAGAAAAGCCCATGGTGGAGCAGAAAGGACCCTTTGTGTACAGGTAGGAATCCTGAACATCAGCAGGAGAGGACTCTTTAAAGTAGAGACACTACATACTGATATACACCTGAACATCAGCAGGAGAGGACTCTTTAAAGTAGAGACACTACATACTGATATACACCTGAACATCAGCAGGAGAGGACTCTTTAAAGTAGAGACACTACATACTGATATACACCTGAACATCAGCAGGAGAGGACTCTTTAAAGTAGAGACACTACATACTGATATACACCTGAACATCAGCAGGAGAGGACTCTTTAAAGTAGAGACACTACATACTCATGTACACCTGAACATCAGCAGGAGATGACTCTTTAAAGTAGAGACACTACATACTGATATACACCTGCACATCAGCAGGAGAGGACTCTTTAAAGTAGAGACACTACATACTGATATACACCTGAACATCAGCAGGAGAGGACTCTTTAAAGTAGAGACACTACATACTGATATACACCTGAACATCAGCAGGAGAGGACTCTTTAAAGTAGAGACACTACATACTGATATACACCTGAACATCAGCAGGAGAGGACTCTTTAAAGTAGAGACACTACATACTGATATACACCTGCACATCAGCAGGAGAGGACTCTTTAAAGTAGAGACACTACATACTGATATACACCTGAACATCAGCAGGAGAGGACTCTTTAAAGTAGAGACACTACATACTGATATACACCTGAACATCAGCAGGAGAGGACTCTTTAAAGTAGAGACACTACATACTGATATACACCTGAACATCAGCAGGAGAGGACTCTTTAAAGTAGAGACACTACATACTGATATACACCTGAACATCAGCAGGAGAGGACTCTTTAAAGTAGAGACACTACATACTGATATACACCTGAACATCAGCAGGAGAGGACTCTTTAAAGTAGAGACACTACATACTGATATACACCTGAACATCAGCAGGAGAGGACTCTTTAAAGTAGAGACACTACATACTGATATACACCTGAACATCAGCAGGAGAGGACTCTTTAAAGTAGAGACACTACATACTGATATACACCTGAACATCAGCAGGAGAGGACTCTTTAAAGTAGAGACACTACATACTGATATACACCTGAACATCAGCAGGAGAGGACTCTTTAAAGTAGAGACAATACATACTGATATACACCTGAACATCAGCAGGAGAGGACTCTTTAAAGTAGAGACACTACATACTGATATACACCTGAACATCAGCAGGAGAGGACTCTTTAAAGTAGAGACACTACATACTGATATACACCTGAACATCAGCAGGAGAGGACTCTTTAAAGTAGAGTCACTACATACTGATATACACCTGAACATCAGCAGGAGAGGACTCTTTAAAGTAGAGACACTACATACTGATATACACCTGAACATCAGCAGGAGAGGACTCTTTAAAGTAGAGACACTACATACTGATATACACCTGAACATCAGCAGGAGAGGACTCTTTAAAGTAGAGACACTACATACTGATATACACCTGAACATCAGCAGGAGAGGACTCTTTAAAGTAGAGACACTACATACTGATATACACCTGAACATCAGCAGGAGAGGACTCTTTAAAGTAGAGACACTACATACTGATATACACCTGAACATCAGCTGGAGAGGACTCTTTAAAGTAGAGACACTACATACTGATATACACCTGAACATCAGCAGGAGAGGACTCTTTAAAGTAGAGACACTCCATACTGATATACACCTGAACATCAGCAGGAGAGGACTCTTTAAAGTAGAGACACTACATACTGATATACACCTGAACATCAGCTGGAGAGGACTCTTTAAAGTAGAGACACTACATACTGATATACACCTGAACATCAGCAGGAGAGGACTCTTTAAAGTAGAGACAATACATACTGATATACACCTGAACATCAGCAGGAGAGGACTCTTTAAAGTGGTGTCTGCTTCTCTGCTGCATCAGAACATTTTGTACTTTATTTTGAAACATGCATTTTTTCATCCAATGCATTTATTGATCTAAATTCAGTTTGTATTGCACATTATTTTGTGTAAAACATGTAAATACAATGTATTTCTATTACATTCACCCTAAGTGTAGCCTATTCTGTAAACGTTGAGCTTCTTGCAGCTGGTTTGGTGAAGTCCAGCTGTGTCTTCTTTACGCCCCCCTGGCCCCCTCTTTTTGTTTAGTTTTTTAGGGAACACTATGTTCTCCTCATTGATTTGCAGGTCATGCTACATGAGAGTAATTCAGCCTCTCCGGTGCCACAGTAGGATGTCGTTCAGACGCTGTTACGTAACTGTACGCTAGATTGTATCTACTGTACATCTAATGAGGGGATCACGTGGACTCATGCACCTCCTTTTCTCTCTCTCAGAAACACAATGCATGCAGAGACCAAATTTATGTAAAAGTGGAGGGATATGTCTGCAGTAATGTCTCACTTAAGTTCTGAATCTTATTCTCACTTTCTGTACTCGTAGATTCACTTCCAGGTGTTTTAAATTCACATTTTTATAAGTAAAATAGTCGCTTTAGAGCAGGGGTGTCAAACTAAATTTCATCGCGGGTCACATTCGCATAAAGGTTGCACTCAAAGGGCCGGTTGTAACTGTATAAATATATAATATATATATAAAATAATGTATTATATTACATTATTGCCTCTGAATTGGATTATTATCGGATAGGATAATAACTTAGTAATTAACTACGTCTGAACGCAGAAGTCCAGGGCAAATAATTGCAAGTCTCTTCAGTGCGCATGTCACAAAACGAGATGCATTGTGGGACATGTAGTTTATGGGCAACCTGCTGCTGTAAAGTGGCATGTAACCGTATAATAAACGTATTATATTCTTTGCAAGCTCTTGCGGGGCCACATAAAATGAAGTCGCGGGCCGGATTTGGCCCCCGGGCCTTGAGTTTGACACCCCTGCTTTAGAGTGTCTTTTAACCAAGACTCTCCTTGAAAAATAAATTCTCAGCTGACTAACAGTCAGATTTAAATGTAAGTGTTTCCACCATAAATCTTGCAAAAGCACCACTTTATTTCTTGTGTTTACCTGAGATGTGTTATTTTTTTAGAATAGGAAGGTTTTTTTAAACCGGGGGAATATTTGGCGTTTGCTTCATTTAAAAAATTAAATAAAATTAAAGTAAAATTAAATTAAATAAATTGAATACAAATATTAATATGAACATAAGAAGTTATAATAAGACCCTGTAAAAAGGGAATATACATATTTATATAAAGAATGTCTGTGATGGAAACTTCTGAAGCAATGGAGACTCAGAGAGACACGAGGAGAGCAGGAACTGTGTGTGTGTGTGTGTGTGTGTGTGTGTGTGTGTGTGTGTGTGTGTGTGTGTGTGTGTGTGTGTGTGTGTGTGTGTGTGTGTGTGTGTGTGTGTGTGTGTGTGTGTGTGTGTGTGTGTGTGTGTGTGTGTGTGTGTGTGTGTGTGTGTGTGTGTGTGTGTGTGTGTGTGTGTGTGTGTGTGTGTGTGTGTGTGTGTGTGTGTGTGTGTGTGTGTGTGTGTGTGTGTGTGTGTGTGTGTGTGTGTGTGTGTGTGTGTGTGTGTGTGTGTGTGTGTGTGTGTGTGTGTGTGTGTGTGTGTGTGTGTGATTAAAAAGTTATCGGAGATTAAAGAACAGCATGTTCATGATAAGGTCCCACAATGCAACAGTGTGGCTCAATGAGACACTATCAGGCTCTGATACACACACAATACTTCAATAGATAGTCTATGTACTGTTTTGGGTCAGATAACAGAAATATAAATTATCTAATCATGAAGTTTACGTTTGGTGTCTGGAAGTTAATTGATCTAATCTGCTCCGGGTGTTTGCTGTGAAGGCCTCCAAGGTCAAAATCCATTATGTCTGTGTGATAAGGAACTTTGTTTTAACGCTGATTGTTTAAAAAAAGGTGTATTGCAGTATTGGTTTGAAAAGTGCAAAGCCGTGCAGATATTAAAACAGGTAGCTTTGTGGACAAATAGATAGTGTGCATTTATGTAATGCATAGTGTTTATGAGATGGCTGAGTCAGTCTTTATCTGCTTCCTTCCTCTTATCCTCTGCTGTTATGTAGAAGTGGAAAGTGTACCTTGAACTAAAGGGCGTGCAAACAATAAAGCTTCCATAATGTTATAACAACAAAGTAATGGTAGTAAAAGTCAAAGAAAGCAATGTTATCTACCTTTTTTTAAATACTCTCTAGTTTCCTTTAGAGGTGCCGGATATTTGTGATTTAATTTCTAGCATCCTTTCAGGAGAATATTAGGCAAGACCAAGGATACATAGCAAACACTGAGCTTTTTTGGCAAGATAGCTTTTTCTAGTTAGCACATTTACTTTAAAGGGGACCTATCATGCAAAATGCACTTTTGTACGTCTTTTCTACATGAATATGTGTCCCCGGTGTTCCAGGGAACTCACCAAGTGTCAGAAAACACAACCCTCTCTATTTTCCTCCATACCCAAATCTCTAAAAAAGGGGCTGCAACGGATCTGATCAAAACTGATCCAGATTTGAACACTGTCCTGACGTCAGGACGGTGGCGCTACGGCTATTGGGCCAACTCCACCAATCAGGAGGAGACAGCCACGGCATTGCCGTTCGAAAGCGCTGGAGACGTTGTAGTACATATGCCAGGCCTGTAGGTGGTGCTGTTCTCACTGAATCAACTCTTGCAAAAACAGAGCAAAAAAATGTCAAATTGAAAGCGAAATGAGGCATGGCTAAAATGCATGATCTGTTTGGTATTTTGAAAAAAAAAAAGTATAAATATGCCTTATATAGGTATGGTCCTACACTATATTATTCAAATATAGCATGATAGGTCCACTTTAAACATGGAGTCAATTTAAGATGTTTTATATCGGCAATAAAAAGCATTAAAATGTTATTTATTAACTATAAGCAAAAATAAAAACTGGATACAAATAATTTTGATTTAAAATAATAATATCCCATTTAATATGATAACTATTTATATAAATTCTAATATATTAGTTTTAACATTATTTGGGCTATCTATCATTATTATAATTGATTGATACAGTATATACAGAGTGCAAGGTAATTACTGAAGTGTATCAACATTTTTCTAAACATCTTCTTGCATCTGAAACGTTGAAATTACGGGAGAAAAAAGTACAATTTCTTCACATTTTCTTGTCTTTTTTTCAGGAAACGGATCCAGAAAGACAACATCACATTTCACGACAACGGTACCGTGTCGTACCGAGAGTACAGAACGTATTACTTCGAGCCGACGATGTCCTCGGGGAACGAGTCCGAAGTCGTCACGATCCCTAACATGTTGGTGCTGGTAAGACTTTAATTCCTCACTAATTAACTTCCATTTAGTACACTATGTGCACTATGCATTACTATATTTAATTGGGTAGAGCAGGCATTTTCCTGTCTCAAATTGAACTGCTGTCACATTTATTTATTTACCTTAATATTTTTTGCTATTTTTGCTTTTATTATAATAGTGCAGATACATTTGAAAGGGTCTGTTTTTGTTTTTTAGCCTGAAGTAAGGTCTGTGGTTGAAGTTTAAAAACGGCGGTTGCTAACAATTGTCTAAACGAGACGACTAAACATCATCACGCCCAACATTAGCCGCCTTTAGCTTAGCGGTGGTGACGTGAAGTCATGTGACCGTGCTGTAGTTCCTTTATAGCCCAACTTTAGCCGCCTTTTGCTTAGCGGTGGTGATGTGAAGTCATGTGACCGTGCTGTAGTTCCTTTATAGCCCAACATTAGCCACCCTTAGCTTAGCGGTGGTGACGTGAAGTCATGTGACCGTGCTGTAGTTTCTTTATAGCCCAACATTAGCCACCTTTAGCTTAGCGGTGGTGACGTGAAGTCATGTGACCGTGCTGTAGTTCCTTTATAGCCCAACATTAGCCGCCTTTAGCTTAGCGGTGGTGACGTGAAGTCATGTGACCGTGCTGTAGTTCCTTTAGCTTTTTGCTTCAGAAATCATAAAGTGGTGTTAATATGTGCTGAACTAAACGTGTAAGTATCACAAACGTTGAGATTTCTGCTGCTTGTTTTCAGGGAGCAGCAGGGATGATGGAGAGCTTTCCCTACGCCGTGCGGTTGATGATCAGCGCTACCTTTAAGACCTTTAAAGAGGGGCCCTTCCTCACGAAGACGGTGGGGGAGCTGATGTGGGGCTACGACAGCGGCCTGGTGGACTTCCTGAATAAATGGCTGCCGGGCATGCTGCCCACAACGGGGAAGTTCGGCCTCTTTGCTGAAGTGAGTGATTTAAAGGCTTCAATGTCACACATGGGGACGAGAAACACATGTGAAGAAAGCTGTGTCCAGATGTGCAACGTAGTTTGGAGAGTTTATACACACTGAGGAAAAGGGACAACATGTACCATGCAAGCTAAAGCTTTTAGCAACAATAAGAAATTAAACTATTTAGGTTGGAAAAAATTGAATTGAAAAATGTATTATTATATATATATTATTATTGTTATTTATTATTATGTATTTTTTTAGTTCAACAACTCCAACACCGGCCTGTTCACCATCTTCACCGGAAGAGACGACATCAGGAAGATCCACCAAGTCGACTCCTGGAACGGACTGACGGAGGTGAGTCTTTAAAGGGGACCTATCATGCAAAATGTTTTGATGTCTTTTATACATAAATATGTGTCCCCGGTGTGTCAGGGAACTCACGTTTTTAGAGAACTCAAATCTCTAAAAACGGGGGACCAACGGAGCTGATCCAGATTTGCGTCCGATATGACGTAATATCTGAAATGTGGACCCACGGCCCAATCAGAAAGTTGCTATCAGAAACAATGCCCGACTGTTTTGGACGTAATATGGTCGGTGTTTACATTAGCATCGCTAACACTCAGAGCTAACCTGTACTGGAGAGCATGTGTGTGAAGAAGCAGGAAATAAAAAGGAACTCACCTTGTGGTATAACCGGCAAGAGAGAAAGCCTTTGAGCTCCATACTGTTTCAGAAACAATCCTTGATAATCCATGATATGGCGTTTCATCACGGCAGTATTTAGTTTAGACAGTAGCTGCCGGGTCCCGCATGAGCTTAGCCCCCTCCTCTTTAATTTTTTTTAAAGCTTTATACCCCAAATCAGCACTTTTGAAACAGGAAGTGGAATAGAGGGATATGAGGCATGGCTAGAATGGGTGATCTGTTTGGTATTTTGAGCAAAACACTTCATAGACATGTTTTTTATATATTTGTATATATCTGAGACCTATGCTATTGCCTAAAAATAGCATGATAGGTGACCTTTAAAATCACTATTATTCACTTTTTAATTATTACATTTTTAGTCTGATTACGGAAAAACTACGGGTCGAAATTTCATGAAACGTTGAAGCATATTCTAAGGAAAAAGCACCTAAAATTAGGAGTGGATTCGAATCACGGGGCGGATAAATAACACGTTTTTTACTCATTGGAACTTCTTTTCTAAATATTGTATTTTTTGTTTGTTTACTAGCTGAACTACTGGAAGACTCCTCAGTGTAACATGATCAATGGAACAGCTGGACAGATGTGGGCTCCATTCATGACCAGAGAGAGCACCTTACCTTTCTACAGCCCCGACGCATGCAGGTAAACACAAACTACATGTAATCAAGTACTGCTCTTAAGTATAACTTTCAGGTACTTGTACTTTAATAGAGTATTGACATAAGAGCGGTACTATCTGGGAACAAATATAAAAAAAAGTGACTCCTTCCTACTGTAATATGTTGATTTCCCAAAACAAACATGGACGCCAATTATTACATATATATTGGACCAGAACAAACAAACATGGACGCCAACTGCAACGCGTTCCTCTCCAGAAACAAACATGGTTGCCAACTGTCACACGTTCTTGGACCAAAACAAACATGGTTGCCAACTGTCACACGTTCTTGGACCAAAACAAACATGGACGCCAACTGTCACACGTTCTTGGACCAAAACAAAGATGGACGCCAACTGTAATATGTTGGTTTTCCCAAAACACACAATATAAATACAATTATATAAATATGTATATTTTAAATATAGAAATACATAATAATAATAATAATAATAATAGAAAAAACAGCCTGAGTAATGATTAACAATATGAAAAATATACATTTAAGTTTATATAAAAAATAATAATTTTAAGGGGGTAATACAAATTATAAAAAATATTTTCTTTGTTTTTATTTCATCAAAAACATTTAAATCAATTTTTTCCAATTTACTTTTCTCCAATCTAAATTGTTTTTTTAATATATATATTTATTCGGATAAAAGTATTATTACCGTCTTTTCCTCCTTTCTTTTTTAAAATAATTTCTCCCCTCTTCATCCCTTCAGATCGATGGAGCTTGTGTACCAGCGTGACGGGAAGATGCAGGGAATCCCTCTCTTTCGATACGTTGCTCCCAAAACACTGTTTGCTAACGGGACGGATTACGCTCCTAACGCAGGATTCTGTCCCTGCAGACAGTCAGGACTACTGAACGTCAGCAGCTGCAGACACAGTGAGGACTCTTTAAAGTAGAGACACTACCTACTGATACACACCTGAACATCAGCAGGAGAGGACTCTTTAAAGTAGAGACACTACATACTGATATACACCTGAACATCAACAGGAGAGGACTCTTTAAAGTAGAGACACTACATACTGATACACACCTGAACATCAGCAGGAGAGGACTCTTTAAAGTAGAGACACTACATACTGATATACACCTGAACATCAGCAGGAGAGGACTCTTTAAAGTAGAGACACTACATACTGATATAGACCTGAACATCAGCAGGAGAGGACTCTTTAAAGTAGAGACACTACATACTGATATACACCTGAACATCAGCAGGAGAGGACTCTTTAAAGTAGAGACACTACATACTGATATACACCTGAACATCAGCAGGAGAGGACTCTTTAAAGTAGAGACACTACATACTGATATACACCTGAACATCAGCAGGAGAGGACTCTTTAAAGTAGAGACACTACATACTGATATAGACCTGAACATCAGCAGGAGAGGACTCTTTAAAGTAGAGACACTACATACTGATATACACCTGAACATCAGCAGGAGAGGACTCTTTAAAGTAGAGACACTACATACTGATATACACCTGAACATCAGCAGAATAGGGCCCCTTTAAACATTTTCTCTGCGGAGATAGTTAGTTTTATTGTTAAGGTGTATCATTTTATGATTTACTTTTTATTTTCCAGACTCTCCAGTGTTCATCTCTCACCCTCACTTCTACAACGCTGATCCCGTGCTGCTGGACTTCGTGCAGGGACTCAATCCAACGGAGGAAGAGCACGGCCTCTTCATAGACATCCATCCAGTGAGCACACACACACACACACACACACACACACACACACACACCCCTGGGGTCTAGACACTGGTGATGATGCTGAAGATCTGGATTTGATCAGGAGATGTGATGAAGAGGGGATGTGATGAGGTCTTTGGATTAGCTCTCCTGGCACTGGATGTGATGAAAGGAGGTGGATGGGGAGAAAACCTGAAATCACAGCTGACTGCAGGAGAGAGGAGAACCATTTTAAAGTTTGGCTGCAGCATGGTGATTGGCTGCTGGAGAATGAGGTGAAATGTAATAGGTTAAAGAGACGCCCGTGATGAGCTGATTATAAGCAGCTGCGGAGTGAATGTATACCAGTCTTCCTGACAGAACTTTCACTGAGCTTCATTTAACCCCGGTGGAAAGTGCAGTGAAATGAGAGTCTGCTTGAAGGAAGTCCCCGTGTCACAGACAGATTATATGTTCAAAACCTCATCATGCACTTTTGTTATCGTCCTGATAGTCATTATCGTCTCTTATCATCTGGTTGCGTTGACCTCCAGCTGATTATAGCAGCGCACTGTTCCTGAGGCAGAGCTTCAGTTTTATTGCCGTACAATAACAGTAAAAGTGCACTGAAGTTATTTCAATGAACCTGACCTACTTGGTGATAAGATAATTGGTAATTGGGCTGTTTGGCCATAATTGCTGAGCAGATTTAACGTTGTATAATAGAGGAAAGATTCCAGGTCATCGAGATTACAAAAAAAGTTAATTATTAAGAGGAATCACTTATGGTGGTATTTTATCTCAAAGGAAAAACAGCATTATTGGAGGAAACGCTGCTGCTTATAACTAAATAACATAAATGATATTGCAGATCTGTAATAACAATAATACATTTTATTTATAGAGGGCTTTTTAAGGTACTTAAAGACACCTTAAATGGTCACATTAATCCAAACAACACACTTAAAATATACAAAATACAACAGCAAACTGTAGTTTACAATAAAAGAAAATATATATAATAATCAGAATCCAGTTTATTGATCTAGTATGTAAACAGAAATTTGACTTTATTATTTGTTTATCTCAATGTACATACACAGAAATACACAAAATCAATATTTGTATTTACAGATATAAATGTATATAATGTGTGGGTTTGTGTTTATACATAAATGCAAACATATGAATGTGTATTTGCACCAAACATATTCCTACTTTCAAATATTTCATGAGCCCAAATGTGTCCCTCTTCTTATTACAGGCTGTTGCACAAACTTTGGATCCATTTGTTCTCCAAATTAGTCACATTTTTAAAAGAGGCCAACATTTTTCCGCTTGGGAGGGACATTTTTTTAAAACTAAACAATGAGTTTATTCATTACAGCTGGCTCAAATTCAAATGATTTACAAAACAGGTAATTGGTTTCATAACAAAATACTGAAGCCCTGATATGAACCAGTGACAGCATGTTCAATATTTGTACGCCTAGAAACAAACAAACTAATGACAATTCAATCAGGAGAGACGGTTTTGATAAGAATATATATTTATTGCCAGGAATACACAAATGAATGTAGTGGAGTTTTGGCGATTAGGCCCCGTTGTGCGGGAGTATCATTCGGGAGGGGAGAACCGATCCAATGAAACCCCCCGGGGTGTAGACACTGGTGGTGGTGAATGGATAGTTGGGTTCGGTCTGAAGGGGAGGGGCTTAGCTTGACCCTGGTGGTGGTGAATGGATAGTTGGGTTCGGTCTGAAGGGGAGGGGCTTAGCTTGACCCTGGTGGTGGTGAATGGATAGTTGGGTTCGGTCTGAAGGGGAGTGGCTTAGCTTGACCCTGGTGGTGGTGAATGGATAGTTGGGTTCGGTCTGAAGGGGAGTGGCTTAGATTGACCCTGGTGGTGGTGAATGGATAGTTGGGGTCGGTCTGAAGGGGAGTGGCTTAGCTTGACCCTGGTGGTGGTGAATGGATGGTTGGGTTAGGTCTGAAGGGGAGTGGCTTAGCTTGACCCTGGTGGTGGTGAATGGATAGTTGGGGTCGGTCTGAAGGGGAGTGGCTTAGCTTGACCCTGGTGGTGGTGAATGGATAGTTGGGGTCGGTCTGAAGGGGGAGTGGCTTAGCTTGACCCTGGTGGTGGTGAATGGATAGTTGGGGTCGGTCTGAAGGGGAGGGGCTTAGCTTGACCCTGGTGGTGGTGAATGGATAGTTGGGGTCGGTCTGAAGGGGAGGGGCTTAGCTTGACCCTGGTGGTGGTGAATGGATAGTTGGGGTCGGTCTGAAGGGGAGGGGCTTAGCTTGACCCTGGATTCAGAGGGACAGGAGGTGAAAAGGGGGGGAGGGGGGTTGCGTCGAGTCACCTGAAATGACAGCTGTCAGAGGGGAGAGAAGATTTAAAGGTTTAGCGGAGCGCTGTGATAGGCTTGTGAGAATAGAGTGAAGTGATTGGTTAAGCTGGGGAGTGACGCCCCCGATCACTTATTGAGAGGAGAGAGAGTAGTAACATGGAAATAGTAAATGAATGAGTGGGGACGGTCTTCCTCGTTGAACTTGCGCTGAGCTTCATTTCTCAAATAATGACTTAGCAACTCGTAGTAAAAACTGAGGATCTGCAGCAGATCTTTTTTAATTGCTCTTCTTTGCACACATGTCCTAATTCCCCTGGATAAATGATATGCTTTCAATTCAATGTATTACTAGAACAGCTGTTTACATCATATATAACACTCAATCATAAATATTATAAGATGATTAAGCATGGATGTATAATAAGAACTGGATACAGCGTGGGAGGCGGGGTCTCGTTCTTTCCTATGAGAGCTGCTCATTGGCGCATGAGGACAAAATGGCCCAACTTTTGAGAGAGCGAAACGTCACAGATTACCCAGCATGCCTTGCTGCCAGAGCAGAAGAACCCGTATGTGCGCTCACAGAGCATGCGCCCCTTAAGCCCCGCCCCCTGAGCTCCCACTCTCGGCTCAGTAGAATGAATGGAGAGAGAAAATAAATCTAAATTCGGCTTTTAGTGCATTTTAGAACTTTAAGGACCGAATGATTCTAATAAGGGCTATCAAATAGTTCATACTGGGAAGTTTATTTAGTTAAAAAAAAATTATCCGCTGATTTACAGACGTCTCTTTCCCCATGTTAGTCAATGGGAAAAAGTCTTTCTGGGTGACGTCACGGACTGATACGGAAGTTGCAGTACCGCCGTTTGGACACAACGAATGTTGGGCACAGAGTCCGGCGCACTTCCTGGGGGCTTGGGATTAACATGCACTTGTTGGCGTCCATGTTTGTTTTGGTCCAAGAATATTTAATAGTTGGCCTCCATGTTTGTTTTGGTACAATTATAACACTTGCCGTCCATATTTGGTTTTAGGAAAGAACATGTTTTCAGTTGGCATTTGGGTATAATATATGTAATGATTGGCGTCCATGTTTGTTTTTGGAAACGAAACATATTGAAGTTAGTGTTCATTTTCACTTTGGTACAAGAACGTGTGACAGTTGCCGTCCATATTTGGTTTTAGGAAAGAACATGTTTCAGTTGGCTTCCATGTTTGTTTATTTTGGTATAATATATGTTATCGTTGGTGTCGATTTTTATTTTTGGAGAAGAACATTTAACACTTGGCGTCCATGTTTGTTTTTGGAAACGAAACATTTTTTTTTAATTTGGTGTACAAGAAAGTGTGACAGTTGGCCTCCCTTTCTTTTTGGTACAAGAACACGTAAAAGTTTTGCCCATGTTTGTTTATAAAGAAGAACATGTGACAGTTGGCGTCCATGTTTTTCTTTGGAAACCAACATATTACAGTTGGTGTTCATTTTCACTTTGGTACAAGAACGTGTGACAGTTGCCATCCATATTTGGTTTTAGGAAAGAACATGTTTCAGTTAGCTTCCATGTTTATTTATCTTGGTATAATATATGTTATCGTTGGTGTCGATTTTTCTTTTTGGAGAAGAACACGTAACACTTGGCGTCCACGTTTGTTTTTCGACACATAACATGTCACAATTGGTGTTCATTTTTTATTTGGTACAAGAACGTGTGACAGTTGGCACCAATGTTTATTTTCCAAGAAGAACCTGCATCCATGTTTGTTTTTGGAGAAGAAGTAGTTGACGTCAATGTTTGACCAAAAACAATCAGTGCAATCCAAGTTGTGCAGCTGGTGTTGTTTGTTGGGTTTTTGTTCTGCCAGATGCCAAGCTTTAGGTACAGACTCACAATACAAACAGGAAGCAGTGAAGGTCTGTCGTGAGACACTTCTTTTGAACTAAATCACGGGGGAGCTTTTCAAATCTTCTGAGAAAGTGTTCAACAAAGTGAACCCAGAAAACTTGCTTGCTTTAACGAGGATTAAGTGAATACTTCCTCTAAAAAACACACGGTATGTGACGTCAATCTCAAATGAACTGCTGAGGTAACGCTGCCAACTTAAGGCATCAAAGACATTTTTTGTGTTAGTGGTTTTTGCCTGAAGTATTGTAGTACAAATACTTTGTTAGTGTACTTACAGTAAGTAGATGTTTCTGGTATCAGTACTTTACTCACAAATACTGGAACTTTCTACTTCTCACTTGTTAAAACAGGCTTTAGTTTGAATGTGTGTTTGGTGGCGTGATCATTATTATTTAGAGTCATTGCGTGCCTATTGATTTGAACACGATCCGTGTATCCATCATTTCCTGGTCTTCTCTAAAGAAGAGGGACCAATGAAAACGTTGTCATGTTGCCGTTGTTCAGCATGGAAACATTCATTAGCTAACAATGACATTATTGTTCTATTAATATAAAGGGAGGTCAGGTACTCTTTAAAACAGCTGCTAGTTATGGGTACTTTTTACTGAAGTACATTTCAAAGCCCTCTTTACTTTCACTTGAGTAAAGAAGTTTAGTCAGTACTTCTACTTTCACCAGAGTATTTTTAAACACGAGTATCTGTACTTCTACTTGAGTAAAGGATGTGTGTACTTTGCCATCTCTGTGTTTAGGAGAAAGTACTTCTTACTGAAGTAATGTGAACTCTTATTCTTGATATTATTAAAGATATGAAGTGGCTTTCTCACAAAAATGCAAACTAATAAACATGACATGATACTTGTTAGACGCTTTTATCCAAAGCGACTTACATACTCAATACTGTGGACAATCCCCACACGAGCAATTTGGGGTGAAGTGTCTCAGGGACACAACGACATGCTGACTGCAGTGGGGTTTGAACCTGCTATCCCCTGATTCAAAGTTCAGCGCACCATCCACTGAGCCACAGCCTCCCAATAAACATATATTTCTGTAGTTATGAAACACTTCCTTATATTCTTTAAATGTATATGTTTATCATGGTTGTTAACGTCTTTAAACTTGACTTTAATGACAATTGATCGTTCAGTTTCAATATTGAAATGACTTAAAATTATAGGATATATAAAAGGAGGAGTTGTTTCGCCAGATTTGGTTTCTTTAGGCTCACAATTATTTAAAATCAGGTCTGAAAATGCATTATTTCTGAGAATATATAAATCCACTAAACCTTTATTTCTGGACAAATAATAATATTAAGAAGAATCTAAGGGATGAAACCCTCTGTAATGGTCTCACATGCACAGCACACACAGTGACATGTGCACCAGCTGGGCGTAAGAAAGTAGGTCTTAACTCTAACATTCCACTGAGTGATTCGAATTTAGTCAAGGAGTCTAGGATCAGTGGGCAGCTATTGTACAGCGCCTGGGGAGCAATGGGAGTGGGGGGGTTGTCCGGTGCCTTGCTCAAGGGCACCACGGCAGGGCCCAGGAGGTGAACTGGGACCTCTCCAAGTAGGGACTTGAACCGGCGACCCTACGGCTCACAGTCCAAGCCCCTACTGACTGAGCCACTGCCGGACCACAAAACCTTCACACAAATAAGAGACCTTTTTTACATATTTTAATCATTCCTTTTAATATAGTTTCCTGTGTCTGATCCTATTTACCATTTGTTGTATTTAAATACCTGTTATTTCCCCGCTCTGCTTTATGATGGTGGTGTTTGGGAGGCTCATGTTTTGTCATGTTTAACAGGATATCCTTTCTCTCTTTTATCTGTAAAAAACAAATGTTGTCTGGAGCTCGGGGACGTTTAATTTCCTGCAGGATCTTCAGCATATCTGATATCAGTTTTAGACTCACCAGCTGTGAAGGATTATTATTTATATTAAAAGGTTTTTTGCATTTAATTGGTCAATATATTTTCTACACTTTTTTTTAAAGGTCCCATGTCATGGCCATTTCCACTGATCATAATTCCATTGTTGAGGTCTACTAGAATAGATTTATATTGTTCAATGTTCCAAACTCACATTGGTTTCTCATACAGCATCTCTGTATAGTATGTGTATTCACTCTCTGTCCTAAACGGCTTGTTGGAGCTCCTGCCCCCCCCCCCCTCCTTGTGAGCCCACTGTGCTCTGATTGGTCAGCTCGCCCACTCTGTTCTGATGAGTCCACCACCGTTACAGCAGAACATCAGTGATTATGTGTTTGTTAGCAACCAGGAAATGACACCAGTAATGACAAACAGATGAGAATGCTGCGTGGGGTCTGGGTGCCGTGTTGGCGGGACGTTGCGCGGCTCGCTGCTCCGCCCTTTGAGGCTCGAGGAGCGGACAGTGTGAGCTGGGTTACTGGTGTCGTTTCCTGGTTGCTGCGTGGGGTCTACGAGACAGCGAGACACCGCGGAACTCAGCCTGAGCACACACACACACACACACACACACACACACACACACTCGTAGCCTGGCTGTGAGTGTGCTCAGGCTGAGTTCAGGCACACACACAAACTCACAGCCAGGCTACGAGAGTGTGTATGTGTGCTCAGGCTGAGTTCAGGCTGAGTTTCGCTGTGTCTCGCTGTCTCAGGCTGAGTTCAGGCTGAGAAATCCGCGGAGCTGCGGCTGAGAAAAGATAAGGGTGAGTGTGTGTGTGTGTGTGTGTGTGTGTGTGTGTGTGTGTGTGTGTGTGAGGAAGTCCGTGTAGCCGTTACGTCACTACGACCCAGGAAGAAAAACATGGAAAAATAAAAATGTCCAACGAGGCGTTCTGGGGCAGCATAGACAGGTCTTTTCTGTGTTAGAGTTTTACTCGCTACAGGGTGTACTTTGAGGGTTTGTGACTCTGCAGACCGGTTACATGCAGAGAAACCTTCATAACACACAAGGGGACGGGTAATAACCAGAAGAGCATGACATGGGACCTTTATGGCTTTGTGTTCAAGCCAAGCCAATAAAAAAATAAAATAAAATAAAACGTCCTTGAAAGAATCCGTCACATTTCCTTCCTCACTGCACTGTGTTGTAACATGGGAACAGTTTAATGTTCCTTTATGGTGGAGATTGAAATGCTTCCCAGTCATTTTTCTTTTTGAAGTGCACATTAAAGTCTGTTTTATTCCCCGTTTGTGTCTCTCCTCAGATGACGGGCGTTCCTCTGAACGTCTCCATCCGCCTGCAGCTCAACCTCTTCATGAAGACAGTGCCAGGAATCACGTAAGGAAATATTCCCAGATCTGCCATAATGCCATTAATGTGTGTCGAGTATTGTGTTTTTTATTTAAGCATTGTTTAATAAGACAATCTGGACACTTCCTGTTTGTATTGCCCTCTGTGAACCCTGGGATGTTGTTGTTTTTCAGAGAAACTGGCAAGATCGCTGACGTGGTGATGCCCATGATCTGGTTTGAGGAGGTCAGTTTAACATTATTAAAATATAGTAAAAAGTTATTATTAAGTGTATTTACATATCGATTTGTTACCATACACATGTGCCCTTTAAACAAGAAATATCCACTTTTCCATCCCATATTCTATCAGTGATTTATTATTGTGTTTGTGTATCATTTTTGTTCAGAAAATGTTGTATAAAAGCATTTGATGGTAGCCTTATTATATAAAATGTAATATTGAATAATCAATTTCTTGCACAATTAATATACATATATCCTGCATTATATTTGTTACTGGAAATGTGTGTTTCCACATGTATATTTTTCCTCATGAAAATATATATTTTTTACTTTTTAATGCTATTTCTATTTCAGAAATATTTTGGATTGTTTATTTCTTGTGTCTTAGTTAATCTTATTGACTCAAGTTTTTATATAAAATGTAAGAAATCAAGCGATAAGCATTGCATTATGTGAAAATAAAATGTTGAATAAATGTTGCCTTAGTATGACCCTGTGGCACGACATAATGTATATCATGTGTTATTTCCTCAGAGTGGGTATATCGACGGTCCGATCCTCTCCACCTTCCACACCAACCTGGTGGTCCTCCCAGCGGTGATGGAGTTCATGCAGTACGGCTTCATCGCGCTCGGCGTCGCCTCCATCATCATCGCCTCGCTGATGCACCACAAGTTCAAGGTAACGCTGAAACTAACCGGCACCCTGCTGTGACGCTTTCTAACGGCACGGCAACACACGCGCATGATCCCCCGCTAACGCAGAGGAAGAAAGAGCAAAAAAACACTGCATTCTTGTGGAATAAATTATAAGTTGACCCTTGGTTTTTTTAACCCGCTAGCGGACGGGAAGAGTGGCAGCATTTGTCTTGAATATAAGTATAAGACAACCTGAGTTTTTGAGTTAATTAAACAGTAATCAGAAGAAGTTTATGACGTTTGTCAACTGGGTTTTTTACTTTATTCTCAAATATATAATGTCTTGAAATATCCAAACTTTTATTGAAGCTTTTTAACGGCACGACGCACGGCAACACACACGCTAACACACACGCTAACACACACGCTAACACACACGCTAACCTGCTAACGGACAGGAGGAGAAGAGCAAAAAACACAGAATGTTTGTGTAATAAATGATAGGTTTACCCTTAGGTTTGAATGGAGTCAATTTAAGAAGAAATCAGAAAAGTTAATGACGTTTTGTCTCCTGAATTTTTTTACTTTATTCTTAAGATATAATGACTTAACTTTTGGAAAATATTATAGTTAATACTCAAGGTATCAATTTCAGGAACTACTTCTTGAAATAATACTATAACTCTATTTCTAAAATACCAAGGAATACTTCATGATGACATTTCCTCATAATATTTTGACCTGTTAGTGAAATATTCTGACTTTTTGGCCGTAGATATTTTGAGTAAAAGTAGAAGTACTCGGATCTTGTACTTGAGTAAAAGTAGAAGTACTCGGATCTTGTACTTGAGTAAAAGTAGAAGTGCTCAGATCTTGTACTTGAGTAAAAGTAGAAGTGCTCAGATCTTGTACTTGAGTAAAAGTAGAAGTACTCAGATCTTGTACTTGAGTAAAAGTAGAAGTGCTCAGATCTTGTACTTGAGTAAAAGTAGAAGTGCTCAGATCTTGTACTTGAGTAAAAGTAGAAGTACTCAGATCTTGTACTTGAGTAAAAGTAGAAGTACTCGGATCTTGTACTTGAGTAAAAGTAGAAGTACTCAGATCTTGTACTTGAGTAAAAGTAGAAGTACTCGGATCTTGTACTTGAGTAAAAGTAGAAGTACTCAGATCTTGTACTTGAGTAAAAGTAGAAGTACTCGGATCTTGTACTTGAGTAAAAGTAGAAGTACTCAGATCTTGTACTTGAGTAAAAGTAGAAGTACTCAGATCTTGTACTTGAGTAAAAGTAGAAGTACTTAGATCTTGTACTTGAGTAAAAGGAGAAGTACTCAGATGTTGTACTTGAGTAAAAGTAGAAGTACTCAGATCTTGTACTTGAGTAAAAGTAGAAGTACTCAGATCTTGTACTTGAGTAAAAGTAGAAGTACTCAGATCTTGTACTTGAGTAAAAATAGAAGTACTCGGATCTTGTACTTGAGTAAAAGTAGAAGTACTCGGATCTTGTACTTGAGTAAAAGTAGAAGTACTCGGATCTTGTACTTGAGTAAAAGTAGAAGTACTCGGATCTTGTACTTGAGTAAAAGTAGAAGTACTCAGATCTGGTACTTGAGTAAAAGTAGAAGTACTCAGATATTGTACTTGAGTAAAAGTAGAAGTACACAGATCTTGTTCTTGAGTAAAAGTAGAAGTACTCAGATCTGGTACTTGAGTAAAAGTAGAAGTACTCGGATCTTGTACTTGAGTAAAAGGAGAAGTACTCAGATCTTGTACTTGAGTAAAAGTAGAAGTACTCAGATCTTGTACTTGAGTAAAAGTAGAAGTACTCAGATCTGGTACTTGAGTAAAAGTAGAAGTACTCAGATCATGTACTTGAGTAAAAGGAGAAGTACTCAGATCTGGTACTTGAGTAAAAGTAGAAGTACTCAGATCTTGTACTTGAGTAAAAGTAGAAGTACTCAGGTCTTGTACTTGAGTAAAAGAGGGTAAAGCCTCACAGGTACGAACACAAAAGGTGAGTTTCAAGGCCTCTGTGACTCAGGATCGCACACTTTTTATGATCATATATTTTCATTTCATGTAATGGTTTCTTTGAACAGGGACAGAGAGCACATTAATGAACACTTAAGACAAATAATGCTTCAAGTGTAAATATGCCGGATTTTAGCTTTGAGCTAATTTCCATCCGTAGTCCCGTCACATACAACATTTAAGAACATGACATTTGTAAACATAGCAAAAATAAATACATGATATGCAAAAGAGCAAGAGGAGATACCCCTGTGTTAAAGAGCAAGAGGAGATACCCCTGTGTTAAAGTGCAAGAGGAGATACCCCTGTGTTAAAGTGCATTTAGCGGTGATTGCACGTCTGGCTGTTTCTCAACCATTCTTTGAGTTGACCTTTGAAACTATTGAGAGTGGGACAATCCCGTGTCTCAGTTGTTCCAGAATGAGCTGCCTTTAATGGAGAGGACATTTTGTCCAAAAGTGGTCCGTCTGCAGTAGACTTCACAGTCTCCTCTGGTTTCTGACCTAGTGCAGCGTCCAGGGTGCTTTCTGTGGATGAATTCCCCTAAGGGGGGAGGGGGGGAGGGGGGGGGGGGGGGGGCAGGGGGGCAGTCCATGTAAACATTTATAATAAAAAAAAGCACATACATATATATTTATAAGTTGGTTTTGATGTTTGCAGAGGGCTCGTACTAATGTGAAAATGACTTCCGAAGGACTGGACAACCCCGGGGTAAAACTGCCGGCTCCTAAAAAATCATAAAAATCCAATCAATTTCGCAAATATTTGATTTTAAGTTGATTTTATTTCACTGTGATTACACACTGCTTGATATTTGGAGTTCAGTTGATTTAAGTTTAGATAATCTTATCAGTGCAGTATGAATATTTTATCTATTTACATTTTTTATTTTGAGGAATAACATTTTATTTGTTGATTTTTAGCCACAATTTTGGAGATAACAATTATTTAAATAAAGTCTAATCAGTGCAGTATTAATATTTTATTTCTTTCCTTTTTTAATTTAATTTGAGTAATTTTATTTATTGGTTTCACAATTTTGGAAACATCTTATGCAGTTTAAAGAAATTAAAAACTATTATTTTAATTTGGAAAAATGCAAAAATGTGATGTGATAATGATATTACATTACATTTCATTTAGCTGACGCTTTTATCCAAAGCGACTTACAATCACCGATTACAGGGACATTCTCCCTGGAGTAACTAAGGGCTAAGTGCCTTACTCAAGGGCACACTAGTGGTGGTATTAAATTAAATATATTTTATATCCTACAAGTCTGACAGTACAAGCATTGTGAAAATGACTTATTTCACACCACTTTTAAATATCTTTACAGCTAAAAATGTGTGATTTAATTCAGTTAAAAAGCAAAGTTGCAGCTCAATGATTGCTCAACTCATTCCTAATGCACGTTAGATTTTAGAGCTTTTCCTGAATGATAATCAGTCCCTTCACAAAGCTGTGGACATCCCCTCTCCCCCCTCCTATCTCTCTCCCCCCTTTCTCTCCCCTCCCTCTCTCCCCTGGATTTAAACGTTGATGTTTAAACGGACGCAACTAACCAATCACGTTACTGCACGGTAAAATAAAAAATCCTTTGCATGAACTCTAAACTCTGCAAATCCACGATCTAAAATATTTACAGCTACAGCGGTTTTCACTCCTTAAACTTGAATCAAACTTGCAGCTTCTTGTGCATTTTATAATATTATTTCTTGGTATTGTCCGATTGGCTAATGTGTAAGGTGGTCTTTTAGGCGTCCTATAAAGAGTGGGCTCAAGGTGACCAAGACAAAAAGGAGAAATGTGACATACATAATGCAGGTGGGTGAAAACACACAGGTATATTTATTTATTGTTCTAAGTTTTTCATTGTTCTTAATATTATTATATATTTTTTTCTACTATTTCATTATTATTTTTTTCCCATTTAATAATTTCTTGTTTTTTTTTCATCCATTTTTCTCGTTTATTTCTATTTTATTTATTTATTTTTGTAATTTCTTTCTCCGTTGTTTTTCTTTTCAGTTTTTTTAGTAATTGATTTCCTTTTTTCTAGTTTTCTCATTCATTTTTTTCCAATATATGTGTTTCTTGTTTTTATCATTTTAATGTTTTGTCTTTTTCATTATTAATGACACAACTATATAATTAAAAAAATAAATACAAATATACATTTATAAATGCACTGTTCCGAAATGTACACCAGATGGACACACGATAAAGGAAATGTTCAAATTCGGCTCTGATCGTAACATCGGGCCGTTGGTGAGGGCATCTTAAGCCATCGTATGACCGCCGGTGGAGTTCCTCGGGCTCCGGCAGCAACTTCGTGAGCGGTGGCAAAATCTTTGGCATGCCAACAAATTGCCGAAGGACCTTTTGAAGGTTCATTTTCGTGTTGAATTCGTGTGTCCATGTTGCCCTTCATAAGGCCATCGTGAGGGCATCTTATCAAATTGTGTCATCTTCGTCTGATCATCGGGGCCATCGGGCATTTTCCGCCTCACGAAGACAATACGAAGGAAACAAGAAGCTGCCCGATTGTCTTAGGAAGGCAACACGACTACGTGAAGCCCTCGCAATGCCGTCGTGTAGCCATCGTGTTATAGTACAACTTGTGTTCTGTGAAACTGAAAAGGATATGACTTTGTTTTTGTTACGCTCGTTGCAGTTGTATGTCTTAAATGTAATTTAGGTTAACTTCCTGTTTTATTTAGATGCTTTCATTTTGAAGGCGAGTTTACGCTGTTGACAGGAAGTTGTTGTTGCTATGGAAACAACATGACGGAGGGTGTTTCTCAATCGCGAGTAAAGCTCCTTCAGAGCCACTATTTCAAGCATACTACGTCATCGAGTGCCGCTGAAGTACTGTTCCAATCTCCAGCATACTTGGAAATCTACCGAGCCCGGCGTACTCCGTTTGGAGAAATATCGAGGCTGCACATGAGTAGACTCCGCGGTCTTAAAATCCCCACAATGCTTTGCGCACGGACCAATTTCCCCAAAATCTGTGGATGTAAGGCGGGGCCTCTCATATGACGCACACTTGCTAGCGTGTTCCACACTTCGTTTTCCGAATGTCAGGAAGTATTCTTGACTCGCTTCTGAAGCAAGATGCTCGGCAGACATGTGCTACCAAGCAAGCGTACTCGAGATTGAGAAACACCCTGTGTGTGTGGTTCGGGTGCCATCGTGTGGCCTTCTGTAGGCATCGTACTTGCTTCGGCTGTCGACCAAGTTCGGGGCCATCTTCGTGCGAAATTCACAATTCCATATTCGTGAGTCCGCCTGGTGTCGATGTCGGGACAGTGTGACGCCCGCATTACCATTTACTCTCTAGGGACTGTTTTTAATTTCACTGTAACTGGCGTGTGTCAGATATCTCTGGTCTTTGAAAACTTCGACTGTTTTTGCAATGATGCTCATTTCTCAATTCTGTATTTTGCACTGAATGGATTAAAGTAATGTGTTGTTTATACAAAAGAAAACAGAACAGGTAGGGCTACATTTTACACTCTGTATCTTTGCTTCTTCTATTATCTTTCCAGGTTAAGGAGCCGCAAAAAAAACTGTAAAATCCTTCAGTTGTTTGAGCTTTTATTTGAACGTTCTAACACTTCCTCCGCTTTCTTCTTCTTCTGACACAGATAAATGAAGGTGAAGATGGCTGCACAGCAGATGAAAACCCAAACACTTCAACTGGAGAGAAAGACCCTCTGCTAAAGGACCACCACTGACACACACACACACACACACACACACACACACACACACACACACACACACACACACACACCAGTATCTTGAAACCCTTGGTGCTCGGCTCGTTGTATTTCAATGCCATATTTTTTACTTTTCTGTAAAGTTTATGACGCTCTCACTTTCACTCCGATGAACGTCTTCGGGGGTTCGAGACTTATTGTGTCTTTACGGCATAACAAGGTGAAGATGTCGCCACTTTAAATACGAAAAACTTTCACAAAGAAACCTCAACAACACTATTTCAAGAGTTCTCACTTTTCTCCGCTCAGTGTTCGATGGTCTGAAGCATCTCAAAGTGTTTTTGGATCAACGACAAGGGAACTACCGTGCAGAGAAGCTGTGGATGTTTACGACCAATGTGCCTTCATCAAGGAGAAAACACTGCTCTGTATTTCCTGTGCTTTGAGGACCTCAGAGTTTATTAAAAAAATGCAGACTGAAACACTGCTCTGTGGATCAGGGAGTCGAGCAGAGCGCACACATTCCTGTTTGTTTACTACTGTCTTCTGTAAAGGTGTGAATGCATTTTCTTGACGTGAATGATGTATAAAATATGAAGTGAATGACTGTAGAGAAACCTGGAGGTAATAAATGTGCCTTTTGTTTGAAATCTTGTGATTGAACGTGTGATTTCTGTTTCATCTGTGGCAGATATATGAAATGCTTTAATCTAGATTTGCAGTTCTGGGTATAGTTTTCATTCAAAAAGTGCTGTTGGTTCCCATTATTCCCTATTGCTCTAATAAGGTCAACAATAGGAGGCTTCACTTCTATTTCCAGTATGTAGTGTCTCTACTTTAAAGAGTCCTCTCCTGCTGATGTTCAGGTGTATATCAGTATGTAGTGTCTCTACTTTAAAGAGTCCTCTCCTGCTGATGTTCTGGTGTATATCAGTATGTAGTGTCTCTACTTTAAAGAGTCCTCTCCTGCTGATGTTCAGGTGTATATCAGTATGTAGTGTCTCTACTTTAAAGAGTCCTCTCCTGCTGATGTTCAGGTGTATATCAGTATGTAGTGTCTCTACTTTAAAGAGTCCTCTCCTGCTCATGTTCAGGTGTATATCAGTATGTAGTGTCTCTACTTTAAAGAGTCCTCTCCTGCTGATGTTCAGGTGTATATCAGTATGTAGTGTCTCTACTTTTAAAGAGTCCTCTCCTGCTGATGTTCAGGTGTATATCAGTATGTAGTGTCTCTACTTTAAAGAGTCCTCTCCTGCTGATGTTCAGGTGTATATCAGTATGTAGTGTCTCTACTTTAAAGAGTCCTCTCCTGCTGATGTTCAGGTGTATATCAGTATGTAGTGTCTCTATTTTAAAGAGTCCTCTCCTGCTGATGTTCAGGTGTATATCAGTATGTAGTGTCTCTACTTTAAAGAGTCCTCTCCTGCTGATGTTCAGGTGTATATCAGTATGTAGTGTCTCTACTTTAAAGAGTCCTCTCCTGCTGATGTTCAGGTGTATATCAGTATGTAGTGTCTCTACTTTAAAGAGTCCTCTCCTGCTGATGTCCAGGTGTATATCAGTATGTAGTGTCTCTACTTTAAAGAGTCCTCTCCTGCTGATGTTCAGGTGTATATCAGCATGTAGTGTCTCTACTTTAAAGAGTCCTCTCCTGCTGATGTTCAGGTGTATATCAGTATGTAGTGTCTCTACTTTAAAGAGTCCTCTCCTGCTGATGTTCAGGTGTATATCAGTATGTAGTGTCTCTACTTTAAAGAGTCCTCTCCTGCTGATGTTCAGGTGTATATCAGTATGTAGTGTCTCTACTTTAAAGAGTCCTCTCCTGCTGATGTTCAGGTGTATATCAGTATGTAGTGTCTCTACTTTAAAGAGTCCTCTCCTGATGATGTTCAGGTGTATATCAGTATGTAGTTGTCTCTACTTTAAAGAGTCCTCTCCTGCTGATGTTCAGGTGTATATCAGTATGTAGTGTCTCTACTTTAAAGAGTCCTCTCCTGCTGATGTTCAGGAGTATATCAGTATGTAGTGTCTCTACTTTAAAGAGTCCTCTCCTGCTGATGTTCAGGTGTATATCAGTATGTAGTGTCTCTACTTTAAAGAGTCCTCTCCTGCTGATGTTCAGGTGTATATCAGTATGTAGTGTCTCTACTTTAAAGAGTCCTCTCCTGCTGATGTTCAGGTGTATATCAGTATGTAGTGTCTCTACTTTAAAGAGTCCTCTCCTGCTGATGTTCAGGTGTATATCAGTATGTAGTGTCTCTACTTTAAAGAGTCCTCTCCTGCTGATGTTCAGGTGTATATCAGTATGTAGTGTCTCTACTTTAAAGAGTCCTCTCCTGCTGATGTTCAGGTGTATATCAGTATGTAGTGTCTCTACTTTAAAGAGTCCTCTCCTGCTGATGTTCAGGTGTATATCAGTATGTAGTGTCTCTACTTTAAAGAGTCCTCTCCTGCTGATGTTCAGGTGTATATCAGTATGTAGTGTCTCTACTTTAAAGAGTCCTCTCCTGCTGATGTTCAGGTGTATATCAGTATGTAGTGTCTCTACTTTAAAGAGTCCTCTCCTGCTGATGTTCAGGTGTATATCAGTATGTAGTGTTTCTACTTTAAAGAGTCCTCTCCAGCTGATGTTCATTCATTCATTTATTTATTACACATGCAAAAGAACATGGTATTATTCATCTTATGTAAAATAAAAAACAAAGAGAAAAATTCAAATCACATTTCAATCAAATATTTGAGCATATTTTTACAAAATATTATATATATATATTTTGCTTTTCACATTTACATGGTTTTGTACAGCTCTTTCACCTCCTCACTGTGACCAGGTTCCATCAAAAATAAAACCGTTGAAACCAATAATTGTTTGACAATGAACACATAGTTCATGCATGGAAAATGTATTAGTGAGGATAATTAGTAAATGTTAAATGTACATATATATGTTCTTAACCGTCAGCTGATGAAAAATAATTACAAAAAAGTCAAAAACCAGCTGATATGTTGATCATTTACAGTAAGGCCACATTCACTGAGCACATCGTCAATGTACAGTTTGTATAAAGTCATAACATCACAGCAGCACTGATATAGCATCATGATTATATATAAATAAACATTGAATATGATCGAATCAACTGGAAGTCATTGTTTGAAATGGGGTCACATGAGGTATTTATTCATTCTCCTATATTACCTAAACCACATGTGTCAAACTCGAGGCCCGGGGGCCAAATCCGGCCCTTGGTGGATTTAATTTCGGTCCGCCGGATCATTTCTAATTACTATTAGATCTGGCCCGCTGGTATATTGCACGCACACCTTCACTCCATCCTGAGGGTCTCCTCAGCTCAGAGCCTGACCCCAAACATTGATGAGCTTGCACCCAAGATGAGATGCCAAGTATCTGAGCTAGCATCACAGAGCAGCACACTGAGTTTACATGGATGTTTCCTTCTGCACTTTTTCTCTCACGACAACAGGGCATGTTTGGTTTTCTCTTTGAGGGAAATGTTTTCTTGAAGCTGTTGTTGGCCTGTGGAGAAATGTAATCATAAGAAATGACTCTGGAAAAGCTGCAGATGGAGACATAAGAAATGAATGCAACTGATTATTTAATGTTTAATGTTGTTTTTATAGGCAATCATTTAAGCTTTGTTAGTTCCAGGTTTAAGTGCAATAAGTTCATTTCAATAAGTTCTGCAATAAACATTGAACCAGTCCGGCCCTCGACTAGTACCCATTTTTTTTATTTGAGTTTGACACCCCTGACCTAAAGGAATACCAGCTTACATGTATTTAAACACCTTAAACAAATCTATATCTGTTTAAGTGTACACTATTTCTATAATATTTCCACCACTTCACCTCAGAACTGAAGCCGTTTTCAAGGCTCTTAAAAGCCTCCAAACTACATTGAAAAGAATCAGGGAGTCGCTGTTCTACAGTGACTCAATAAAGGTTAGTTTGTTTGTGTTGTGTGACTTTAGTGTGTTTAAAAGGTTAGTTTAGCATCATTTAAGTCACACAATGCACAAAAAACGAATTGATGGAGGGACAATCACTGTTTATGTCAATGGAGTCATAGATAACGGCTTTAATTCCCGTCAAAAAGAGCGGTCTGACAGAAAGGTAAAGGGAGAAAAAACTCTAAATGTTGCTTACTTTTAAGTTAACAGTACACTATCTTTAAAGGTCCCCTATTGTACTCTTTTAAAAACCAGTAGAGGAAGCAACAGACCAGCAACGTATGTGTTATGTGATAAAAAAAATTGCTATTTGTGTCAATGGAGTCAATGAACAAGCAGTGAAACAAGTCAAAATATAATTAAACTTATATTGGGTTTTTAGGTGGCAAGAATACATGTTGCTGCATTGCCTTCCTCTCCTGTCTGCTTCTCCATGATGGCTGTGTGCAGACTGCCCTCTACTGGAATCAAACCAACATATATACCTCATGCAGCCCCTCAAATCAACCAATCTCCTTACATAGATGTCACTGAAATGCATAAAGCAGTTTACTATAAAAACACATAAGGATGATGCACTGAAAAACCTGAACCGTTGACTTTAATTAAATGTATATTATGTCGACAAATTCCACATAACTAGGCTAGTTAAACCTAATCTTTTGTATACAGTTATGTGTAATCTGTTGACATACTATATTTAAAGGGGACCTATCATGCAAAATGCACTTTTGTACGTCTTTTCTACATGAATATGTGTCCCCGGTGTTCCAGGGAACTCACCAAGTGTCAGAAAACACAACCCTCTCTATTTTCCTCCATACCCAAATCTCTAAAAAAGGGGCTGCAACGGATCTGATAAAAACTGATCCAGATTTGAACACTGTCCTGACGTCAGGACGGTGGCGCTACGGCTATTGGGCCAACTCCACCAATCAGGAGGAGACAGCCACGGCCATTGCCGTTCGAAAGCGCTGGAGACGCTGTAGTACATATGCCAGGCCTGTAGGTGGTGCTGTTCTCACTGAATCTGCCCTTGCTAAAACAGGGGTAAAAAATGTCAAATTGAGCGAAATGAGGCATGGCTAAAATGCATGATCTGTTTGGTATTTTGAAAAAAAAAAAGTATAAATATGCCTTATATAGGTATGGTCCTACACTATATTATTCAAATATAGCATGATAGGTCCACTTTAAGTAAAGGCAGTGTGGGTGATTACATTGAACCAATAAATGATGATATTTGGTCCTCTCATGCTCACCGGATGCTCAACATGCGCTCAGATTACAGACACAGTTGAACAGGTACAATAACATTAAAACAACAGCTGTTGACATTGAAATAGCATCGTTCCTCCCCGTGTACACACACACATTTAAACACACACGCATTTCAAACTCTTCACGTGTTGTTCTTTCCTGCAGGACTTTACTAATGTCTCGTCTTCTATATTTAACTGCCCTGCGACCTGCAGACTGGACCTGCTGCAGACACATTGTCCAAACAAGAGGCTAATGCTGAGCAACAGGTGGGACACACACACACACACACACACACACACACACACACACACACACACACACACACACACACACACACACACACACACACACACACACACACACACACACACTGTTGCCAGGGGGTAAAGGAGGCTAACACTTTCCAAAACCAGCCCGAGA